CCTGATCTCATTAATATTGTATTTAAAATATAGTCCCACTAAAAATTTACATCTGCAGTAAAACACACATCCAAGTGCTATTGTATCTCCAAAAATCTTTTAGTGATGCTTTAATTAATGAATAATAACTATATTCATATACAAGTAGGAGAACCCTGCAAGATCCAAAGTTGTGTTGTGAAAGAAAGGAATTGAATTGCAAAGTAGACAGATCCAGAATTGCTATAAAATTATGAAGCTCCTTCTGTTAGGAAAGCTTTGCTTTCTCATAACAAAGTAATGTAACCAAACATTATGCTTTCCTTCTCTGCAAAATTAAACACAGATTGATTGTGTATTGGCTGACTGGGTGTTTACCTGAGATAGTTTAAAGTACTGCTCTAATTCACACTGTAAATGAACTAGATAGACTTCTGGTATTAATCCCCTCTAGCTGGAGAACACCCTCCAATTTGTCATGACATAATAACTCAGTAAATATTACATAATCTGCTGAGTAAATATTACATAATCTGCTGAATTTAAATGTGCAGGTTATTAACAGAATTTGGAGCAATCTGACAGACATTTGAGAGGAGGATCATCACGTGGCTGCGGCTGTCATCTTTTCTGTTGTCTCTCTAGTAAGAAAATCAGGCCAGCAGTTTTTATTCTTGGATCTGATATGCATTTTGTGTGAATGCATCTTTTATATTCTGGTTGGGTTTTTTTTCTGTATGCATCTTAGAGAATCCTCTTCCATTAAAAAGAAAGCTACAATGAAATATAATAGGATAAATAATTTATTTCAGTTTTTATCAGCCACAAAAAGGGCTCAACTGCCTGTGCCTGGGAAAATCTGGCTTTTGTGTTCATCAGGTTTCAGTTAAGTCCCTTTTACAGTTGTGGCCTAATTCTCTAAAGCATGGACTATAGGTTCATTCAGAACAGTTGTGCCAGGAAGTTGTGATTGGATTTTCTAGCCCTTAAGAAACTTCTCTTTAGAAACTCAGCTGTTCCCATGCCAGCACGAAGCAGGGCACTCTTCAGAAGACCTTCCTGGAGCAGTATTCCTCCTGTAATGAACAGAGATATTTACTTTAGATATGATTAGGATTAAAAATTGGAATGTAAGAAGCTGGAAAGCGATGAACACAGAATTTACATGATTTCTAGATGCATTTCAATTGTGTGTGAAGTACACATGCCTGCCCTTGGCTCCATGAAAGGGCTTCAAAATGCCACTCCTTCAGGAGGGGTTTGCCCTTCTGCAGTGCTGGAAAGTGGTTTGAATCCCCATGTGCTCTTGCACTAGCATTGTACCCATTAGAATGGAAGTGAAGCAGTACTGCAAGTATGAAAACCTGGAGCTGTGACAAGCCAAGTTGTGGTTTTGACCTTAGTGTGGGCCCATCCTTTGAATGAAGGATAATAAAGCAGTGTGTTCCCTTTTAATCTAATCCTCATCAGACTTATCCAAGGCAGCGGGTTGTACTGTCAGCTGCTGGTGTCGGCTGCCTTCTCCTTAGAGTCACAGCAACACTTGGGTGTATCAAATGTTATTGCCATGAATGTGACACATTGTGTTCCTGAAAATAAGAATGGAGTCATCCCCACTTGTTCAAAGCACCCTTATCTGTCTCTGCATTTATTCTCTCCACCATGGCACAGTAACTGCTGCAAAATTTCCAGTGCATGTATCAAGTTACAGATTAGTGCAGGCCCCTGTGGTTCTTGGAACAGCATGGGGCTGGTTTTGTTTACTGATGACATTTATCCTCTCATTTCCTTTTGGAAGCATGACAGCTTCTCACTGTCTGATGGGGAATGTACTTACAGGACCTTCTTTTCATGCCATGTCTGACGATAAACACTCCACTGCATAGTATCCATGTCTGCTTGCTGTGGAGCTGCTGTCAGACTGGCAGGAGCTTGGCTGGGCAGGAAAGCCAAAGGGTTTCTAAGTGCAATTATCTTCTCTTGCAGGAGGAGACCGAGAGCGGATGACAGCTAACCATGAGACGTACCTACTTATGGCGAGCACGCAGAATGACATGGAGGATTGGGTGAAATCCATTCGCAGGGTTATATGGGCACCATTTGGAGGAGGTGAGTCAGTGGGGGAACATTCAGGGCTCCCAGATACACTAAGACCCGTAAGAGTTCTTCTGTTCCCTCTCAGTCACAGGGTTTTGAAACGAAGAAAAGAATAGTCTAGATCATTCAAGAAAAGTGGAGTAAACCCTTTGTTTTCACTTGCAATGTAGTTATTGGACATTTTCCCATGCAGAGAACTCAATTAAAAGACTTTAAACTGTCTGGAACCACTTCCCTTGATGAGGCTAGCACATGATAGTGTGAGGGGAAGTTTTCACAGAAGATTGGTCTTCAATGAAATCAGCTTTCCTGCAGAGAGAAGCAGAGTAATTCCTTCAGTCACCCGCTAAGAGACCGTCCATGTGTTTCATAAATGCCTGTTACGAGAGCTGTCAGCAATTCTGCTGCCAGTGACAGCTAAGACCAGTAATAGTATTATATAAAGCTATGCCTCAGAATATTAGCACTAGCAGTATAGGATTTTGATTGGCATCTCCAGTAATTTCAGGAGTGCTGGACCAAAATTTATTCTTGGAAGCCTAGTTGTCTTTTTCAAATGCTCTCTTATGTTGAATGGGTTGCAAATTATTATAATAATTTTCATCATTATTGTTCTGGTGATAATGTCTCTTATTGTAATACAAGTATGATTGATACACTTACACAAATGTCTTTACATTAATCAGTCTGTTCCTTGGAGCTCTCAAATCTCTAAGTCTAGGGACAGAAATGTTTTTCTGTCATGAAAGGGCACCCACTCTGCATCAGATGATTGGTCTTTGTTGCTGGAAAAGTCAGGCAGGCAGGATTGTCTGTGCTGTTTTGTGACCAAGGAGTGCAGTTAGCACTGAAAAATGTGATTGCTGTCTGCAAATGCTTGTTTCTCAACTGCCAGGTAGATCTTAGGAGAGGGGAGGGAAAGACTGAAGGAAATGATCATTTTAAAGAAAACTTCTCTTCTAAGCCACTTGTCTTCTTTTGTGCTTTATTCAGGTCACACAGCTTTCAGCAGAGAAGTTTGGCCTCTCTGGTGAGCTGTGCTGAGGAGCTTGGTCAGCTAGGGCCTGTCTGGCATCTCTTAAACATGACTGTCTTCCCTTTGGGTCCTCCTGGGGAAATATGCCCTGGAAAGATGGGCAAAGCAATCATTTCACTGGGATCTGGCCCCATATCTAAATCAGCTGGCACAGTACTGAATCTAGGCATGTAGATCTTATAAGAGGATGCTTAAACAAAATGTCAAACCAAAAAGAATAAACCCCAAAACTCACAAAGTGCAAGGTTTGTCTTAAAAGGCATCATCTGCTATGGGCCTCTTGAGTTGGTTTGGGAGAAGGAAGGTGGGAGGAGCAGAGTCTTCTGTAATTAGGCTAGGTAAGAAATCTGCTTCTTTATATAGCACAAAGATTACCCATCCCCAGCTTTCTCTTTGCAAAGCAGGTCTTGTGCTGAGCTCCTCAGTGTTCTTCTACTCCAGACCAGTAGCAGCAGAAGCTGCTGTGGCAATAATAAATTGGGGGGCATAACAGAACTGGATTTTGCAGAGAGTATCTTTGTGGGGTTTTGCACTTTGCTTCTAGCACCACAGTATCTTTCTGTGGCAGATAATAAGGAAAGGCAGCCTTGCTGTTCTTCTGCAAGTGAAGTCTCTGTATGTCACAGGGGGGAGCTGAGATTAGGTGAAACTCCATTTCTAGCTCAAGTCCATGCACAGAGCTACAAATAAAACCCAAATCTCCCAAGTCCTGACCCCGTGCTTTCTTCACCAGCTCCTCATTTGCTTTTATAGGGCAAGAGCTATTTCTGATTTGCAGCTGGGAATCCTTACAGCCACCATGAAAGTTCTCAGGGCACCGTCGTTGTCGTAGGAATGTTTAATGTCAGTTACTGAGGGAAGCACCTTGCTGAAGACTTTGCATGCTGATTTGCATGAGATGAGATGGATGCAATCCTTGCATTACCCTTTCAGTCCATTTGTACTTAAAACACTTCAAAGCATGTTCTGGTTTTTATCCTGTAGGATTTCTTGAGCAAATAAACTGACTCAGGGTTGTTTGTATTGGGAAGCAAGCAGTTAACTCCCCGGAAAATGTGAGAACAGAGGGAACATAATATAGGGTTTGGTGTTCATGGAGAAGGTTTGACTGTGGTAACACAGCAAAAGCAGTATCAAGGGATGCGTCACCATTAAGAATTGTGGTTCTAGCATGTGCCCCATTTTATTAACTACTTAGGTTTATAATCTGAGCTATTTTAACAAGTGTAACTAAGCCCTGTTAACTGTTCTGTAATTATGTATGGCCAGACACTCATATTTTTATTATCCCTTGCTACATGGATGTTGCTACAGCTGCTGCAAGTCTGACCCTTCTGAAGACAGGCACTTCTGGCATAAGTTGCCTTTATGAGCTGTAGCTGCTGAGGTTAAAACTGGTTTTATATATTACATTAGCTACAAACAAGATGGGGCAAAGTTGCAGTCACATGATGACGACTAGCCAGTAACAACTAATTACTTGCAACACAAAATCTAATCAAAACACTATTTACTTATCAGCTTCCTAAATTTCAGTGCTACATGGGAAACCACAGTAGTCTGGTGTCACACCAGTCAAGTGCCACTTTGAGTAACATTTGAATTTTCTGGTTCTTTTCAGCATTGTAAGCAAGCTCTGTGTGTGCACACACATGCAACGGATGTGTATAAGCTGTGGTGAGCCACTAATGTTTAAAGTTTGTCTGGCAGGGGGAGAGGATTCCTGGTAGCAGAGCAAATGATTAACCATATCATTAAATTGTTATTTGTTAGCCTGTGCTAGAAAGAGAAGGCAGGAGGGAGGGCAGGTGGGAATGTGCTAAGGTGATCAGAAACAGCACCAACAGCAGCTCTTGGTTTTTTTTGCACCAAATAAGGGTGACTGGAAAAAAAATCTGAAAGGGAAAAGAAATGTAAATGAGGCAGGGCATGTAATGCCTGTTTGCACATGAAATTCCCTTCCTGATTAGATTAAAAAGGCAATTTTTTACAGAGCCCGCAACTAAGGGGGAGGGAGGAGGCGAGAGAAGAAGGAGCATGAGCATTTTAACAGGGGTAGTAGTGTAAGGTCTGGCACCTCCTGCAGGAGCCAGGCACAGCCTGCTGGCTTTTCAAGCAGCCGCACATGACAGCAGCCTGAAGTCAACTCAAAGTCACCGGAGGAGCAGACGAACCTGCGCTGCGGCTCTCAGCTCTGTGCCGTTCTCCTGCACCTGCTGCATGCAGACGGCAGCAGCAGCAGCCTGGCTGGCACCGCCTGGCGTGGGGCACAGCCAGCACAACATCTCCGTCTGGAGCCACGTCTTCCCCAGCAGCTCCCCACCATCCTCCAGCAAAGATGCGCCGCTGCCGCATCTGACGCATCTCTCCCACGAGAGCTTCTCATAGTTCGAAGGCAATAAAACGAGAGAAGCTCAGCACACGAGGAGCTGGGGGTATTAAAAGGTCTTTTGAAAGGAAGCTTTTCTGGACAAAGAGCCTTTCGGGTGAAGGGGCTGTTATTTTTGCTTCTTGGGTGTAGAGAGATACAGGGTGCCAGCGAGGATTGTCGTATCCCGGAGGATTCTTCGGTGGCCTTTTGAGTATTGTTCTTCTCTTTCCCCTTGCACACCGCAAAGTGCTGAGCTTTTCCCGTGGAATTGGAGTCTCTGCCACTCAGCCCCCTGCTCTAGCTGGGAGGAAAAGGTCTTTCTCTGTCTGTGCAGGCACTTCTCTGTGAATGGAAGATACATCTTTTCGCTGAAACTCTTTTGTTGTGACATTGCATAATAGGCAGTTGTCTCACCGCAGGAAATAAAAGAAACGAAAGGAAATAGATGGAAGGAAATTGTTCCCCAAAGCAAAATTGAAGCAGGGAAGAGAACATTAAAATCATTTCAAGCCCTACCCAAGATCTAGAAGACCACAGATCTCCTCGCTCCAGAGGAAAATACACTATTATAAAAACTCCTCAGCAGTCAGTAACGATGAGCCGTGGTGTTTCATCTGGATGCAGCTGGTAAAGGAAAGCTTTGGAGGGACGTGGGGGCTCTGGCCTGTATCATGCCTGAAGACAGAAATGCTGGAGTCCGCAGCCCAGGTGCCTTAGCAGCAGCTCCTTTCATTCCTAAAACTACTTATAGGAGAATTAAGCGGTGTTTTAGTTTCCGTAAAGGTAGGTGTGTTCTGTCACTCTGTTCTGCTTTGCTAGTGAAGCCATGGTTTGAGAAGTCAAGGGGGCTGTGTGTGCCGGGGCAGATGAGAGTACGGAAACAAAAGGCATTAAACAATGCAGATGCCAACATTCCAGGAATGATTTATTTACTTCTTTGTTCATTTGTTTGTAGCTGCCCAGCTGATACTGTCTCCTCTACATAATAGCCTGTGAATGGGCTGCCGGAATGAGGTAGTTGGAGACGAGATTATTGCAGTGCCTCTGAGCAAAATTGAGTGAGAACACTGGGGCAGTCGGACCTCTGATGCTCTGAGTTGCCTATTTGTCTAGCAGAACATCAGGAAAAAGAGTTTCTGTTTGCATTTTGTCTCTAGGGGAGGAGGGGAGGAGAAGAGAGGGAGCAAAGTAATGATGATTAATGTTCATCTGTGCAGAAGACCGAGTCCTTGGTTTCAGAGATTTCTGATGGATTGAAGTGTAGCCCTACAATGCACTGTCCTGTGGCAAGTGCTGCATTGCCACTTCATCATGCTGCCCTGCAGCCTGCATTTGCCTTTTCACCTGCTGCATAGAGATGTTTAAAGCCAGTTTTCTTCTGCATTGCACATCCCTCTGTTGAAGCAGAGCTTGGCAGTTCTCAGGGAAGGAGGGCAAAGAGGAGGTTGGCTTTCATAATATTTCAGCTGGAAGCACTGGAAGGAAAACACATGTCTGAGAAAGAGATATGACAAGTGATGGTAAGGTGCCAAGGCACTTGGGATGGGTGGGAAGAAACTGTCTCTATAATGAGGACAAAAACTTTGTGTGTGGGAAGAGGAGGAT